ACTGGAACTCGCTCTGTAGACCAGGCTGGCCTCAAACTCACAGAGATCCGCCTGCCTCTACCTCCCCAGTGTGCTGGGATTAAAAGCCTGTGCCACCACCCCAGGCCACAGGATACTTCCTGGAAGTTCTGAGGTGCTGGGTGCTCTCTCCACCTGCCCAGGGCCCTACCGAGCTCTAGCCTCCAGGAGAGAAAATAAAAGCCCAGAAGCTTCCATTGATTGTACTGGGAAGCGATGTGGTAAGAACTCTGGACACCTTGATCCTCTAGAAGCTCATAAGGAAACGGGTGCTGAGAAAAGGAACCAGTCACCCTGCTCCCCAAGGCTGGGCCTTCTTTCTGTGCTTCGGCTAGCAACCGCCATTCCCTTACTCCAAAGTCCAGGGAAAAATCTGAACTTGTTCCTCAACAGTGCCTACACCTTTGATCCTTTCCATCCTCCAGATTCTCCCGTCAGTCTGTCTGTGACCGTGAGGACTTTCCATTTATCACACAGACACTAACCTGACACAGTCCCTTCCATGACTCAGGTAAAGCCTAAAGCCTGAGTTGGCTTCCTCACTTCTGCTCTGAGCTTTTATCCAACTCAACCATGTTCTTTTCATTTCTTCTCTCTCCTCTCTCTCTTTCTCTCTCTCTCTCTCTCTCTCTCTCTCTCTCTCTCTCTCTCTCTCTGTGTGTGTGTGTGTGTGTTCTTTTATTTTCTAAACAAGGTCTCACGTAGCCCAGGTTAGACTTGAATTTTCTGTGTAGCCCAGGATGACCCTGAATTCCTTCTCTCTCCACCTCCAGAGTGTTAAGAATGACAGGAGAGGGTGGCGCTGGAGAGATGGCTCATTGTTGTTTTTTTTTTTAAGATTTATTTATTATGTATACAACATTCTGCCTCCGTGTATACTTGTACCCCAGAAGAGGGCACCTGATCTCATTATAGATGGCTGTGAGCCACCATGTGGTTGCTGGGAATTGAACTCAGGACCTCTGGAAGAGGCTCTTAACCTCTGAGCCATCTCTCCAGCCCGAGATGGCTCATTGTTTAAGGGCACATATCGCTCTTGCAGAGCACCCAAACTGAGCTCCCAAGCATGCCCTGTGATTCTAGTTCCAGGGAGATGTGACACTCCTAGGCTCTATGGGAACCTGCACTTACATGCACAGACCCCCACACAGACACACAAAAACACTTTATTTTAAAGAGTGAATTACAGGAGTGTATGAGCCACTTATACCTGGTTTATATAATGTTGGGTTCGAATCCAGGCCAGGCAAACACTCTAGCAGCTGGAATATAGCCCTAACCCTCAACAATATCCCTGCTTATAACCCCTGAGTAGGCCGTCATCCTGGCCAGAAATCCTTCATGGACTCTCTACTTGGTTTCTAACATTCTGACATTATCTCCTATTCTCCCCACATCATCGATTCACGTTGAACTTTCTTCGGGTTCCTCCCTCTATCTAGAAAGCACTCTGCCTCCATGTCTGCCCAGCCAGACAACTGATTACTCTAGAGGCCGGCCAAGTACCAATGATCCAGGTCAGGTTTTTTCCTTTCTCTTCTACTCGCCTCTGTCTCGCCACTCCATTGACCTGACCATATATTAACCTCACTCAGGTCAATGTTCATGCATTGTTATTATTTGTGTGCAAGACTTGTTTTGCCTCCCAGCGTTTCTTCCGGGCCTATGGTACCCTGGGGGTAGTTCTTTGACACGCACCGTCTACTTCGATTCACCCCCCACAATAGCCCTGGGAGATGGACAGGACTCCCTCCATTTTATAGGGCAGGAATCTGAGGCCGTCGGAAGTTAATGATCTTGATTCCTTACTAAATAGCACAGTCGTCACTCAACGAATTTTATTCCAATCTGTGTCTGCCAGGTTCCTAGGACCCCCTGGGCCTTGCAGTATGGATTGGGAAGTCCCTCTGGAGGCAATTAGCACAGCTGCCTCAGGACTAGGCAGACCGTGTCAAAGGCAGTTTTCTCCCCTCCTTTGATTTAGATTTGTCGTACTATGAAAAAAAAAAAATGTCTGGCTCCCAGCCAGCACTTAGCCTGGGCCAGCCCAGGGCTAAAGAAGTGATTCACGTGGACAAACATCAACCAGGATGTTTAGTTCCACTGGTGACCCTGACTGTTGTAAAACTGTGACAGAAGGTGCCAAGCCCAGCACAGGTCCAGCGGTTTCCCAGCCCAGTGCTCTGCCACCTCAATAAAACCCTCGAGCCAAGTCTCCCTCCTTCCTGCTTCAATCCAGCAGGAGCTCTCAGCTTTTATAGAGGGCCCGGGACAGCATTACCGTCCCTAGGATCAGCGTTGGCGTGATAAAAGGCCCTGGCATTAATAACCGACACAGGCTCTTGGGAAATTCATAGGAAAATCAAGACCTGAAAAGAGCAAGTCTCCCGTGAACTAGGTTTTCACCTGTTAGGGTTGGAAACCCTCAAACTAGCTGGATCAGTTCGTATTGCCTAATGAAGAACTCCACAATAATGGACTCATTCTTTTCCTCATTATTTTTGGAGTTAAGGGTGTTTAGAGGCTGTTTGCTCAAGGAGAAGGTAAACAGAGCTTGCTGATTCCCATGGCCAACGAGCATGCCTCCAAAGCCATTCCAACCTGGCAAGAGGCATGGATCTAATCAAAGACTCTGAGCCAAGAAGTGGGGGTGAACTAGTTCTATTTTGTATTTGAGATATATATATATATATATATATATTTATTTCGGTACTCAAGACAGTCCCCTCTGAGGTTGGCGTGATCAAAATGTCTATTCCATGTTTCCAAAACCTGTGGAGTGTTGAACACCGATCCACCGCCTTCAGCTCACTCAATCTTAAGCAAATAGTGGTTGTTTAAACATGTCTAAAGACACAGTTTGCACACAAGGAGAGCTCTTAAGTGGATAGCCTTCCCTCCCTCTCCACCAAGATGACGTAAGTGTTCAAAGCCTTCGGTGTCTCATAAGGTCCACAGTGGACAAATGTCTAGTGACAGCCAGCAGTCGAATGGTAGAATCCATATCTTCCTCAAAGAGAATGACAGGGTTTAATTCTTCGGCAAGGGAGTTAGACCACAGGCCACCAAGGCCAGTGAACCAAAGCCAGTGTCACTGGGAAGATCATCGTGTTCCTGGTCATCTTTAAAACACATCATGAAGTGACTTGGTAAAAATACAGATGGCCCGGGCCAGGGTGTTACTGGGACTAGTAAGAGTTCTTAGAAGCCCACCGACAGGTCATTTTCCAGTTTTTGTTGTTTTCTCCTGTAGATGTGGTTTATGATATTTGTACTAATATGAGTATACACATTCCAAATGTGGTTTTGACATTTAGCATTATTTCAAACCTCTCACATTTTGCATAGATAAATTTTATTCTGCCTTCCCCAATATAGCTCTTGTGGAGCCTGCCTCTCACTATGTAGCTGAGGAGGAACTTGAATTTCTGATCCCACTGCCTCTACCTCGCAAGTGCCGAGATTAAAGATGTGAGCTGCTATGCCTTGTTTATTCAGCATCAGGGAATCAAACCTAGGACTTCGTAGATGGCTAGACAAGCATTCGACATGCTATGCAAAATGTGGGCGGTTTGAAAACATGTCAAAAGTGTAACAACGTCTAGAAAAACATAGCGAATGTTTTGAGGGGTTAAAATAATCCTTATAGTTACATCTCAGCCATGGGGGTCACTTCAGTTGGTTTTTTTTTTTTTTAATTTTCTGGGTGAGTGCTTGCCTGCCTGCCTGCATGCAAGTGTACCACATGCATGCAAGTGCCCTCAGAGACCAAAAGAGGGTGTCAGGTCCCCTAGAACTGGAATTACAGATAGCCACATGGGTGCTGGAGACTGAGCCCAGATCCTCTACAAAAGCAGCATGTTCTCTTAGCCACTGAGCCATCTCTCCATCCCTGGGTCACTTTAAATATTAATGAATCTAACTTTATTCATGTAGAAATCCCCCTTGCTTCTTTTATGATTTGTTATGTTTGTAGACAGGCTAGTGCTTAGAGCCTCCACATAATAATACTTCTCCTCATGGGACTGGACCAGCATTGTTAGTGAGCATTGGTGACTTAAGGGGTTATTTTAACCCCTCAAAACTTTAGCTGGCTTTGACATTTAGCATTATTTCAAACCTCTCACATTTTGCATAGATAAATTTTATTCTGCCTTCCCCACTATAGCTCTTGTAAATATTTTATTGTTGACTCTACCATATGTGCTTAAGTCACTTGGAGCAAAAACCAAATATTATTTTGCTAATACAGAAACTATCGAGTTTTGCTATTCCCAATGTCATATACCCCCCTCCCCCAAAACAATTTTCAAAAAGCATTTTTGTTGTTGTTAAAAGACATTCACTTCCTACTGCCTGGATTATGTTGCTAACGTTTTAGAGACACCTTGAAAAAGATTCATGGCATATGTTAGCAGAAGTTCAGAGGGAAGGGTGAGAGAAAACACGTAAAACGTGCTAAACACTGAACACAGCTACAAGGAAACAGGCAAGGCGTGCCAGCAGGACCACTGTTAGCAGCCTGAGGGCAATTGGGCGTTAACACCAAGGGCATATTCCCAAGCTTCCCACCCTCAACCCCAAGGCTCCTGAGACCAGTCTCTACCTTCACCAACTTTCTCCTTATCCTTCCTTCTTTCTGTTTGGCCTCTCAGTGTTTTTGACCACTTTTTAGGTAATTTCACCCTTACTGGAATGCCTGTCTTCTTTCTCTTTATTTCTGGGAACTGACACTCCATTGGTCCTTACTTGCTGAGCCAGAGCCGAGAGCTCGTGAGGGTGATCTATTTTACCTTCAATGGGCTGGTCTCCCCCATGACAACACCAGCCTGCTTCCTTCCCCCCAACCCCTACTTCTCATCCCTGGAGAAATTTGAACTCTGTGGCCCCTGAAACTATGCCTGGATCCCCAAGGTCTCCATCTGGACTAAGCCTTTTTTGACCAAAGTGAGATCAGGTCAAGGAGGTGGAGTGAACAGTACCTCTTTGCAGGCGTGAAGCTCGGGTCCGGTTCCCAGGGTCACCTGGAAGGTGGTCCCAGCCCAGAGCAACAGCCACAGAAGCCGGGATGTGCGCCTTTCACTTCTTCCTCCGCCTCTGGCAGAGGGATGAGGATTGAGACCAGGCTCAGCCATAGCGCTGTCCTGAGCCAGCGGCAGTAGCGGCTCAGGTGCTGCGGTGGCTGCTTATGCTGGCAGAAGGAGGAAAAAAAGAGGAGGGAGGTACACAGGGGGAGGATGCAAGGGGCTGGACTCGCTTCAGTCACCTCCCTGCGGCTACGCCAAGGCCGCCCATCCTTCCTCCTCCCTCGGTCCTCTCCTCCTCCTATCCATGTCGCCTTGACAACCGCATCCTCTTCGCTCAGCGCGGGTGGGGCAGGGACCACGCGCGCCTCAGCCGCTCACCTGCCGGTATCCATGGCAGCCGCCACCGCTGGCGCGCGGCGTGGGAGTGCGCGCGCCAGGGTTTGCAACTAACCCAACAGTCTTACGTAAAGCTCGCTGTAGAAGAACTCCCCCCCCCCCAAAAAAAAATGTCAGCAGTTCATTTCGCCCCTATTGCTCTTCCAGGTCAGGGGTTATTTCTAAACATCTTATTTTGTAAACGTGGCGTGTGAAATGATAAAGGGAAGACAGACGTCATCACGCCCTTCCAGGGATCGTCTCCTAGAGTGGCCCCAGCACTAAGTGCAAAAGTCACTTCCACGCTTCCACCCCGCCAAATCCATCCATGTTTTCACAACCGGGTCGATAAGCAACCCTGACGTCTGCATAGTTAAACAGCAAGGAGAGTGACCTAGCCGACAATTTTCCAATCAGGACACGTGAGATCTTTGGGTTTCTGGTATTCTCGTACTCTCATTTGCTTTGAAAATAGGGAAGCTTTCTTTTAGGCGAGGGTGAGAAGGAAACCTTTGAGTCATCCTAAAGGACTTCTTTCGTCAGCTTTTGCGGAACTCCCGTGCTGTGGGAGGCCGGCGTTTTCCTACAGAGGCTCCAGAGTGCGATCCAGGTCAGCTTTCCTTGGTAATTCACAACCTCCTCCCAAGGAGACTTCTGAGTTGAACCGCCAGGTGGCGCATCTCTCGAAGGGAATACGTCTCTGTCATAAATGTAGGGTAGTTGCCTGGCAACCAAAAACTGAGTGTTCCAAACAATTGGGACCGGGGATCCTCTAGGAGCCAGGTGGTGCTACGGCTGCCCTAATCTCCTGAAACTAATTCTGCGTCTTTGGGTCTTTAAGTATGCCTCACACTCAGGAATCTTTCTCGCACCTTGCGTTAAGTGACGAAGACACACACTTGGGAAATCTGCGGGCATCTAAGGTACTGAGGTTTCCTCAAAAATTCCCTGTGGGGTCCCCAGTAGACTCCTGGTAACCTAACTCTGGTGAGACCACCTAGTATCAGAGGAATCTGGTTTCTGTCTGTCTTCTTGGTCCACTATTCGGGTCTGCTAACATTTCAGAAGTGGTTTTGAGCAGAGGGAAGTGTGACGGGAAAGCTAAGTTCCACCAAATTACTATTTTCTTCTTGCTTTGAGATCTGTACTCCAAAGACAGATGAGATGTGGAATAGATGAGACTCCTCTGAGAGACGCCAGGTCACACTTCAAGCAAGTCTTCACGATACCTCTGTCCTCTAGTTAATGCAAGAACACATCTGTATATGTGTGTGTTTAATTTAATTGTGTTTAGTGCTCTGGAAATACACGCCATATTTTTCCTAGTTTAAGTATTGGGGATATTTGAAAAGGTGCACAATAAAGTGAATTAAGTGGTAATTTGAGCTTGATAATAATCTAAAGAGCTTCCTTCTATTTGTTCCTTGTTATTTATATGCCAGACACTCTGCTAAACTCTAAGGGCATGTAGTCTAAAATCAGATATAGTTACTGTCCAGTTAGTTTAGTAGGAAAGACAGGCCAGCAACAGCATCAGTAAAGATGCTTAGACAAGCCAAGCATATGCCTATAATCCCAGCAGTTGGGAGGCGGAGACGGGAGAACCAGGAATTCTATGCCTGTCTGAGCTCTAAGAACCTGATTCCAGCAACCCACACACATACCAAACACAAACCATGTGCTTCCCGCAGGGGCACACGTCCTGTGAAGGAGTCACAGGGAGAATGCCCTAAGAGTAGGAACTTGAAGGTTTTCTCAGAAGAGGTGAGTGCCATCTCGTGTGTGTGTGTGTGTGTGTGTGTGTGTGTGTGTGTGTGTGTGTGAAGTTAGGAAGAAGGAAAGGGAAAATCAGATACTTAGGGGAAAGGAGGCAGTAGGTGCGTATGCCTGGGAAGGAGAGACAGAGTGGTCTGGGAAGCTGCGAATCCAGAAAAGCTAAGTGTTGTTGTGAAACAGAGACACCAGACCTTGTGGCTGAGTGTTGTGAACGTTGCCTCAGAGGGCTAGGAATCAGCCTGGGGGTGTTGGGAATCATGGGATTTCAAGCTCTGGAGCGTCGTGGTCAGAGTGTGTAAGAAATCATACACAGCCCTGCACACGTCTTTCAGTAAGTGTGTGTTAAATGAATATAAGCAAAATGGGGGACTTATAGCCACAGCATAGCAGGTTCAAGACCAGCCTAGATGATATGAGATACTATCTTAAAAATTAAAACTGGGGACCTATGTGGGTGAATTTGATTGATGGGGGGCAGGTGCCATTAACATTTTTTAAAAGATTTATTTATTATGTATATAGTATTCTGTCTGCATGAATGCCTGTAGGCCAGAAGAGGGCACCAGATCTCATTATATGATGGTTGTGAGCCACCATGTGGTTGCTAGGAATTGGACTCAGGACCTCAGGAATAACAGCCAGTGCTCTTAATGTCTGAGTCATCTCTCCAGCCCTACCACTAACATTTAGAGTGGTCTTAAGAATATTGTGTGCTCACCTCCATAAGTTAGTAGTGAATAAGTCATGTCACTGCTGATAGAAATATACTTTGGTCACATCCTTGACTACTGTGTAAATAGAGTATAGCCATAGTGAAAGTGAAGTCCAGAGTCTCAAGATAGCTGGCTGGGGTTTGCCCAGATGCCCAACAGAGTGAGTCGGCAGAAAGTTGCCTGCACATTTACTGTGGCCCTGATAGCCACAGTACCCGAGTTAAAGAACCAGCCCAGGTACCTGTGCACAGGAATGGATAAATTTGGCTAGACATGCACAGCCAACTATTATCCTGTCATAAAGAACATTTCTATTTTTTGGGGAGATGGGTACAACATAATAAGGGAGACAAGGCAGATGCAGAGAGGCAGATGTGGTGTATGCAAGATCTAGTTTAAAATGAAAGAAGTGAGACTGGAGTAGCTGTGTGGTAGAGCATTTGTCCAGCATGAGTTTGATTCTCAAAGCCAGTGTGGGGGATGGAACATGAAAATAGAGAGGAGACTGTTTGGAAAAGGAACAAGAAAGAATAATGGGGGGTAAATGTGGTCACAGTTTTGAGCAGGCATTAAAATATCATGATGAGGGCTGGAGAGATGGCTTAGCGATTAAGAGCACTGGCAGCTCTTTCAGAGGTCCTAAATTCAATTCCCAGCAACCACATGGTGGTTAACAACCATCTATAATGGGATCTGATGCTCTCTGGCATGCAGGCATTCATGCATACAGAGTACACACACACATGCACACACACACACACACACACACACACATAATGATGAAGTCTGTTTCCTATGGTTAGTATGTGCTGATAATAAAAGACTAAATTTATTAATGTACAGAGACTGCTTTCATGTATGTCTGTCGCAGAATTGGTGATCAATGAATACAGGCTCTTCTGGTCCTTAAAAAGAAAGAAAGAAACCATGCACAGAAGTGGACTGGGTACGACGGGGGTGAGACAGAAGTGTCCCAGCTCAGCAAGTGCAGCAATCCTGCAGAGTGGCCGACAGCAGTGTCGTGGCGCTAAGATTCTTGTTTGAGAGGGACGGAAAGGGCAGAGCAGTGGGCTTTGATAAATAACTTGAGACGGGCCAAAGAAAATGGATAAATATAAGATAGACTCCTGGGTTCTGAGGGCTTAACTAACACGGTCACTGAGGTGGAGCCTCCCAAGGAAGCAGGTTTGGGGAGAAAGGTGTTGACATCAGGCATGCAGCTTCTGTGGTGCCTGTGACATCTTTAAACAATTTTGCTGTTGGCAGGCTGGAGAAGTCAGGGTTGAAGATGTACGTCTGGGAGCTACAGGGCCGGTGTGCTGTTTGAAATTGTGGTAGAAAAGGTCCTGGGAATTTAAGAATAAAACAAGAAGGGACACGCCCAGAAGAAGAAGAAAGATGTAATAGTCAGAGACCAGAGTTAAACCAGAAGGAACTGACATCAGAAGATGGAGAAGTATTTGTGGGGATTCAGAGTGGTGTGGGATGTTCTTTTGTATATGTGTTATGTGTTGCTTTTTATTGGTTGATGAATAAAGCTATTTGGGCCAATAGCAGGGTAAAGCCAGGAAGGAAATCCAAACAAAGATATATATATATATATATATATATATATATATATATATATATATCGAGAGAGAGAGAGAAAGAGAGAGAGAGAGAGAGAGAGAGAATAGGCAGAGTCAAGGAGATGCCATGTAGCTGTCTAAGGAGAAAAATGCCAAAACAGAACCTTTCCTGGTAAGCCACAGCTTCGTGCCAATACATAAATTAAACAGAAGTGGGCTAATTCAAGATGTAAGAGCTTGCTAGAAATATGTCTGAGTCATTGGCCGAACAGTATTATAACTGATACAGTTTCTGTGTGATTTATTCGGGTCTGAGTGGCTGGGAAACGAAAGGGCAGTCTCTACTTACACAGAGTTACAGTGCCAGAAATCTCAGAAATCAAATAAGGTCAGGGTTGGGAAAGATCTTTCTAGTAGCCACAGAGATCACAGCTCAACAGCCAGGACAGTTTCAGTGGGCACTGGAAGAGAGGTCACACTACAATGGTTGGAGACATGAGCAGTGACAAAGGGAAGACAGTAATTGTTGGTCATGAAGAAGTGTAGTTTTGTGGATAGGTGACAATGTGGCAGACATACCTTGATAAAGGGATAGTAGAGATGTTGGTGCCAGATGAGGGTGTGGAAAATGGTACAGAGAAGGGACCAGCATAGAACCAAACTGGACCCTCTGAATGTGGGTGACAGTTGTATGGTTAGGGCAGACTGCTTGTTCTGTCTTTTGGAGCCCATTCTCCTTGGAGAGATACCTTGCTCAGCCTAGATATAGTGGGGAGGACCTTGGTCCTGTCTCAAAACAATGTGCTAGACTTTGTTGACTCCCCATGGGAAGCCTTAGCCTCTCTGAGGAGTGGATGGGGAGTGGGGTAGGGGGTAGGCGGAGAGGACAGGAGGAGGGGAGGGAGTAGGAACTGAGATTGGTATGTAAAATGAGAAAAGATAGTTTTTTAAAAAAATAATTTTAAAAAAATATAAAAAGAGGGGGCTGGAGAGATGGCTCAGAGGTTAAGAGCACTGACTGCTCTTCCAGAGGTCCTGAGTTCAATTCCCAGCAACCACATGGTGGCTCACAGCCATCTGTAATGGGGTCTGGTGCTCTCTTCTGGCCAGCAAGCATACAGACAGACAGAACACTGTATACATAATAAATTTTTAAAAAAATGTAAAAAGAAAAAGAAAAACATTTCATCTTTTCTCCAAACTTGGAACATCTAAATATGAGCATATATATCTTTCTGACCTGTTTCCCGAGCCTCCTCCCCTACTCCCAGCATCCTGACCCACCAACTTCTGTTTCTCTGGTCCGTTTCAATCATTTCTCACCCAGAATGCTTAGGGAGTCCCCGCCCCAGTTATCATGCCTCTCTTTGTAGCTGTCCTGAGATTCAAGTAAAATGGGATGGAGCACGGTGATGAACGTGACCCACGCTGCATCCGCAGGGCCTCAGGTGAAGCACGGTGATGAACGTGACCCACGCTGCATCAGCAGGGCCTCAGGTGGAGCACGGCGATGAACATGACCCATGTTGCATCACCAAGGCCTCCTGTAACCAAATCCTGCATGTTGTTTCTCTTTTGCAGAAACTGCCATTTAACTGCCCAACTCACCTTGCTCAGCAGCAGGAACCCTGGAATCGGCTCAGCTCAACTCCCACGGTTACCTCCATGAGGCGAGATGCCTACTATTTTGATCCAAAGGTACTTAGCATTGAAATACTATTTCTTTTTGCATCCACTTAGGGCTCAATATGTACCTTCTATTTTGTTTTAATTTATTAGTTAACTAATTTGTTTCAGACAGAACCTTGCTACATAGTCAAAGCTGACCTCAAACTTAGTATTTAGCCCAGACTGTCCTTCTGTCCCAGACTCTCATTCCTTCTGTCCCAGCCCACTGAGTATTAGAATAATGGGCTTATACCAGCATACCTGGCATTAATATCCTTTCCTTTTCTTTCTTTCATTTTTTTCTTTTTGGTTTTTCAAGACAGGGTTTCTCTGTGGCTTTGAAGACTGTCCTGGAACTAGCTCTTGTAGACCAGGCTGGCCTTGAACTCACAGAGATCTGCCTGCCTCTGCCTCCCAAGTCCTGGGATTAAAGGCGTGTACCACCACCGCCCGGCTTATCCTTTTCTTTCTTTCCCTCCTTCCTTCCTTCCTTCCTTCCTTCCTTCCTTCCTTCCTTCCTTCCTTCCTTCCTTTCTTTCTTTCTTTCTTTCTTTCTTTCTTTCTTTCTTTCTTCTTCAAGACAGGATTTCTCTGTGTAACAGCCCTGACTGTCCTGGAACTCCCTTTGTAGACCAGGCCAGGCTGGCCTCAAACTCAGAGATTCGCCTGCCTCTGCCTCCCGAGTGCTGGAATTAAAGGTATGTGCCACCACCACCTGACATTAATATTCTTTTTTTTAAGATAGTCTGAGATGCCTCAGCCTCTTTCCTTTTGTTCCCAATTCAAGATCTTACCAAATCCAAAGCCAAACGAAGTCACAAAGTTTGCTCCAAATTATTTTTATCAAATTTCTTATCACACATTGTAGTAAATCAAAGACTGAGCCGGATGGTGGTGGTGTACATACACGAATCTCTCTGAGTTCGAGGTCAGCCTGGTCTACGAAACGAGTTCCAGGATAGCCAGGACTACATAGAGAAAACCTGCCTTGAAAAACAAAAGCAAAAATAAACCAAAGAAACAAAAAAGCTGAATATAACCATAAATGAGATAAGGTTTGTCAAACCCAAAGACCGTTTTTCCATCTTGCCAGTGATCTTACCATTCTTAGCCTAACCATGGAAGACCATTCCTATGGACAAGAATCACCAAGTCATCACCGTGTACAAGGCAGTGTTAGGTGCTGCTGGGTTCCTGCTCTTCTGGATACAATCTGAATAGAATAGGGAAATACAATCTGACTAGGGTCAAGGCACAAAACGGCCAAGTTAACTGTGGGAGGACTGTCTCTGTAGATACCAAAGGATGACCTGGATTTCCGCTTAGCAGCCTTGTATGACCACCACACTGGGGCATTCAAGAACAAAACCGAGACACTGTTACACCAGGAGACCATCCAGGACATCAGTGGGTAAGTGACAGCAGCGGTCGCTCCCATTCTAGGAACGCCACCATCAATTACGTAAGGTAAAATGGTATGTGGCAGTATGAACAAGTACATAGTTGATTTTTTTTTTTTTATCTGCAGAATCGTTTGCTTTTCGCTTTGTCTTAAATGTGCTGGGGATCAGACTTAGAATTCCATGCATACTAGGCAAGCACTGTACCACCGAGCTACATCCTTAGGCCTCATTCCTGTATTCATTTTCTAAAATGGGCGGAACTCCTCATGTGGATAGCTCATCTGGATAAACCGACAAATGCTTTCATAATTCTAGACTGTAAATAGGTCTTGAACTTGAAATCTTATGAAATTACCTTTCCCTCTCGCCGTTTCCTGTCTGGTTGACGTCACCCTCCTCTGCTGTCTTCCCCACCGTCTTCTAGACGCAAGAGCCAGATTCCTGGAGAATGTTTCCACTCTCCTCCGGCTCCCATCACTTCCCGAGCTAACATCAGACACTGGATCAACCCTAAGAGAGAATCCATCCACAGCATCCAGGGATCCATAGGTGAGGGTCAGAAGACAAGGCGGCACACGGGGAGTGGGGTGGGGGGGCAATCTCTCTGAGCCACCAGGAATCGGGGCCACTGGCTGGCAGGAAGCTTAGAGACTAGGGAAGATGAGAATTAGTGATGGAGCCGTCACCTGTTAGACTAATACTATGGGACATGCTGACCGTAGAACTAGGGATTCAGGCTTTTAGATTAGGCCTCGGTGACATTTTGAGCAGGGCAGACACAGGAAGGGAATTTGGGAACAAAGGCCTTCGTTAACTTCCATCAGTCCATTGTATGCCAATTTCCCCTCTTTACGAGAATCTTCTCGCGGCACCAATAAATGCATTGATTAAAGGATTTAAAAGGGGGGTGGGGGCAAAGGTTCTGAAATTCCCACTCACCCCGTCCTCTTTTCTCCACAGTGTCTCCTCACACTGCAGCCACCAACGGAGGTTACTCCCGAAAAAATGATGGTGGCTTCTTCTCCACCTAGTGATGACAACTGGGCTAGTTTCATCACGGTGGAACACCCAGCTGTCCTTCTTCATTAAATAGGTTTGTTCAAGGTAAAGCCTGAAGTGTCTGCTGCCCGCACTACGTTTTGACCACTCTTAAAATGAGGAAAGCTCCCCAGTTCTAGAATCGAGTCCTGTTGCAACTTAGGACAGAACAACACTGATTTGGAAGGGACACAAGTATTTAGTTTGCAAGTTTATAAACTAAAGTCACAGCCCCGCAGAACCAGTCAGTACATCCGACACTAAGTGTCAGGGAAACAGGACATAGCCGTGGTCTGCTCTCAGAATGAGCAAGTTATCACTATTCTGAATCACCCTGTAGCTATCTGCTAAAGCTACATTAGCAGACTTTAGACTCTTGAGTTTACTCATCGGCTTTTCCCTGGTCCTACTCTTTGCCATCCTCCAGTCTCTGTCTCTCTACTGCCTGGAAGTCAATTCTCTTTTCTGTGTTGATTTTGCCTGTGGCATATAGCGCCAATCCTCACGAGCATTGTTCACAAACGTAGTGTTTGGATTTCAAGGTACCTAAAATTTGATGCATTAGCTTGGTTTCTAGTCTTACAAGTCATGGGGCTGGGGAAATGGCTCAGTGGATGAAGTGTTTGCTGGGGTCCCCAGCACATGTCTGTAACTCCACTGCTGTGGGGGCAACGGTGTGGGGAGAAAGGCAGAGCCGAGGGCTTGCCAACCAGCCAATCTGGCTGAATCTGTTGAGTTTCTGGTCATGTCAGAGCCCTGGTCTCAAACAAACAAGACACCCAACTTCAACCTCTGGTCTCTCAGGTGCACACAGAGGCATATGAATCCACACAAATATGCACACACACAGACACACACACAAAGAGAGAGAGAGAGAGAGAGAGAGAGAGAGAGAGAGAGAGAACACAAGTCACTCATAAGAACCTGTTGTCCCCCCCCAAAAAAAAACTTGAACAAAAGTGGCCTGATGAACTTTTGAATATTGTCCTATACGGTACATGCTGTGATGTGCACCTATAATCCCTGCACTGGGCAGATAGAGAGACAGAGGAACTGCTAGTCCAAGGCCAGCTGGGCTACATAGACACTGTCTCAAAAAATGTCTTAAAGAAACAAAAGACCAGGGCTGGAGAGATGGCTCAGAGGTTAAGAGCACTGACTGTTCTTCCAGAGGTCCTGAGTTCAATTCCCAGCAACCACATGGTGGCTCACAGCCATCTATAATGAGATCTGGGGCCCTCCTCTGGCATGCAAGCATACATGGAAGGAATGTTGTATACATAATAAATAAATAATTTTTTTTAAAAAAGAAAGAAACAAAAGAACAGGTTACTACATAGTTCTATTTCTGATTGTCTGACAACATTGTTTCATTTGTGACTCAAATACAAAGGGGAACCCTTTCAGGAACTGTCATATCCCTTTCTGTTCAAACTTCTAGCCTTCAGTCTCGTCTGCACTTGGGAGGCTGAGGAAGGAATAGCAGGAATTCATGGTCATCCTTGGCTGTATAGTGAGTTCAAGGCTAGCCTGACATACCTCTGATATGATGCTCTGTCTCAAATAAAATAAAATAAAATAAAAGCTTAACATTCTGAAATTTTGAACTAGAACAAATTCTTAAAATTTCGTTTTTCAGGGCAGCATTCTCCTGATACCAAAACCAGATAAAGACACACATACACTTATATACTCACACACACACACACACACACACACTCACACTTACACACTCAAACACAAATACATTTCAATAATATTACACACACTTATTTACACACATTTTAAAGTAGAAAAAAATGAAAGGTTTCTGTTTGTAATAAATGTTATGGTGGCTTGAGTAAGAAGGGGCTGGGCTAAAGGTGCCCCACCTCTCCCGGCTAGGCTCATGTATTTGAGTATTTGTTTCCCAGCTGGTGGGCTGTTTGGAAAAGATGAAGAGGTCTGGCCTTGTTGAAGAAAGTGCACCACTGTGGGGTAGGCTTTAAGGTTTCAAAAGTCCACACCAGACCTCGTCTCATCTCTCTTTCTGCCTCTAACTTGTGGATCTGATGTAAGGTCTCAGCGTTGCTCCAACACCGTGCCTGCTTGCCTGCTGCCACAGTCCCCGGCAGGATGGTCATGGACTAATTGTAAGCAAAATTCCAATTAAAAGATTTCTTTAAAAAGTTGACTTGGGGGCTGGAGAGATGGCTCAGAGGGTAAGAGCACTGGCTGCTCTTCCAGAGGTCCCGAGTTCAATTCCCAGCAACTACATGGTGGCTCACAACCATCTGCAATGAGATCTGGTGCCTTCCTTGCCAGCAGTACATTGTATGCTTAATAAATAAATAAATAAATAAATAAATAAATAAATAGAAAAAGTTGACTTGGAGTCGGGCAGTAGTGGCTCATGCCTTTAATTCCAGTATTTGGGAGGCAGAGATAGGCATATCTCTGTGAGTTCAGGCCCAGCCTGGTCTACAAAATGAGTTCCAGGATAGCCAGAACTGCTATATAGAGAAACCCTGTTTCAAAAAAACCAAAAACCAAGGGCTGGAGAGATGGCTTAGAGGTTAAGAGCACTGGTTGTACTTCCAGAGGCCCTGAGTTCAATTCCCAGCAACCACATGATGGCTCACAACCATATGTAATAAGATATGGTGCCCTCTTCTGGCATGCAGGCATACATGCAGACAGAACACTGTATACATAATAAATAAATAAATCTTAAAAAAAAAGCAACCAACCAACAAACAAAAAAGTTAGGTCGTGGTGTCTCTTTACAGCAGTAGAACACCAATTAAGACAAATATAAATGCAGAACTCAACAAGATACGAATCAAACCCAATAGCACATAAAAAAGATTATTTACTGTGATCAAATGGAGTCCATGACAGGGATGATAGTTCAATGTGTAAAAACCAATAAACATAAAATAGCACATCAACAGAATGAAAGATCAAACCTGTATGATCATCTCACCAGATGGAAAAAGGTATTTGATAAAATCCAACATCCCTTCAGGATTAAAACAGAAGAAACCATGGTCCCAACATTATTAAGTCCACATACGACAAGCCCACAGCCAGTGTGTCACCAAATTGGAGACAGCTGCAAGCTTTCCCCCCGATATGTGGGACTAGGCAAAGACATCTGTTCTCATCTCTTGTATTCAGTACGACGCTGAAGTCCCAGCCAGAAAAAGGCAAGAGAAATGAAGAGCATCTGAACTGGAGGGGAGGAAATCCCACTGTCAGGGTGTGTAGATGGCATGATCTCATGATCTTACAGGTAGAAAGGCCTAAAAATTTCACCAAAATCTACTAAAGTCGGTAAGTTCAATACAGTTTCAGGGTAACGTTGACAGAGGCTTCTGTCCTACCCGGCATGGGTCCCATGGCAGTTCAGTCCCAAAGAAATATACAGAGACTTACATTAATTACAAACTGGTTGGCCTATTAGCTCAGGCTTCTTATTAACTAATTATTACATCTGACATTAACCCATAATTCTTGTCTGTGTTAGCCATGTGACTTGTTACAAAGCTACCAAGTAAGGCATTCTCATCTTGCTTCCTCTGTGTCTGAGTGACGACTGCAGACTGAGCCTTTCCTCTTCCCAGAATTCTCCTGTTCTGGTCACCGTGCCTATACTTCCTGCCTGGCTACTGGTCAATCAGTATTTTATTAAACCTATACAAGTGACAAATCTTTACAGAGTACAAGACCATCATCCCACAGCAGGATAAAAGTCAACATGCAAGCCTGTAATCCCAGCTTCTTGGATTGAGGCAGAATAATTATAATTTCAAAGCTTTCCTAGGTTATAAATGAGTTCGGGCTAACCTGAGAAAAGAGATCTTGTCTCAAAATAAGTAAAAAGGGTTATGGACATAGCTCATTGGGAGCATGTATAAGGAATGTTCAATCCTCAGTACAGGAGAAAAACAAAACAAAAACCTCAGAATCATTTCTGCATATCATTAGGAAATTATGTGAACAAGAAATTAAGAAAGCAACCTTATTCGTGATCAATTTAAACCACGATGTGAATGATCTCTACAGTAAAAACTATAAACACTGAGAGAAATTGCAAAAGACAGACACACACACACATGTCGTGTGTCACAGCGCAGGTGTATGGGTTCACAGGGGTCCATGAAATGAAAACTCAGGGACACCTTGAGAATAAATTTAGCCTTTAGGCCGCAGAGGACTCAGCCACTGTGGACTGAAGCGCTTTCCCTCAGCCCTTCGGCAACTTTATTTTCCCTATGTTTACACTTTAGTTAGTAGATTTCCATATCTCAGAACAAACTTAATGAAGCTTCCAAAAACAGAATGTCAAGTGCAAATACCTGATCCATGAGATACCATGGCTTTCGGGGTTTCCACTTAATCAGGTTTTGTATTGACTTTGTATCCATTGGAAACTCTCAGACAAGATTCACATAGGGCAACCAAAGGTATCTGTAACACAAAGGATGGAATAGTGGCTGGGTACTAACTCCTGAGCTAAGACAGGTATGGCCCAGAGGGGGTAGCTTGCTAACCCTCTGGCACCAGCCCAGCAGGACTCTCTGTTACACACACATACAAAGAAATCTGTGTTTGTGCATTGGAAGAATCAACACTGTTAAAATATCCAAAGCATTCTGCAGAGTCAATGTAATCCCTATCAAAACACTAATGACATTCTCCACAGACCTAGAAAAGACAATGCTGTGATTCATACGTAACTAGATAAAAGAAAAATAACCTCCAAGTAAGGATGAGATGTCTCAGGATCAACTTGCCTTACAAAAAAAGGGACCCAAATCCATTCCCCAAACTCACATTCATAAAGCTGAGGAGGGGAAGCTGGAGAGGTGGTTCAGGGGTTAAGAGCAGTAGATGCTTGTAGCCATATGTTTCTCTCCAGCCCACCAGTTTCCAAATACCACGCGGAGGCTTAATATTACTTCCAAATGCTCAGCCAATAGCTCAGACCTCTTACTAACTAGCTCTTACATGTTACTTTAACCAATATTCCTTATTTATGCTCTGCCACGTGCAGTACTTTTATTAGCATGGCATGTTCAACTCCTGC